AGCTGTGCTTAGGTATGACAAATAGCCCTCTTTTTTTTTTTTATACTCACCCAAGGACATGCTTCTTGATTTTAGAGAGGAAAGGAGGGAGAGAGGGAAAGAAATATCAGTGCAAGGAGAAACACCCATTGGTTGCCTCTTCTATGCACCCCAACTGGGGACTAAACCCACAACCTAGGTATGTGCCCTGACCAGAATCGAACCCATGACCTTTCCATTTATGGGATGGCATTCCAACCAACTGGGACACACTGGCCAGGCCAGCCCTCTTTTTAAAAATAACCTCTTTTCATAGAGCATTTTGAAGGAAACAGGATGTACAGGGATGTTTACTAGGCTTACAGTTTTAATTTTAGGATCTGTATATTTAGCTATTACTTAATTTCTCCTGCTACTTGAAAAATATCTACTGCTCTTGGGAACCTCAAAATATGGGATGAAAAAACATGGAGGCTGGACAAAGCTGGAAAAGGAGGAGTAGGTTGTCTAAGAACCACGGTGCGGTGCAAAACTCTGGTGTGTTCTAAGTGCCTAATTTGCCCTCTCTAGTCCTCTTGAAACACAGGTTGTGGGGTTTTTTTTGGTGGTTTTTTTTGTTTGTTTTTGGGGTTTTTTTATTACTATTAGGTCCTCTGTTCATTTTCAATGGATGATGGATGTTTAATACACTGGAGATTATTTATTTACCCCGACCATATCCAATTTGTTAAACTGGACCAGACTGGTGACGTTTTTCTATGGATTTTCTTAACATCTCAGAAATTAAACTGAATGTAAGGTAAGGCCAAGTCTCACACATAAGAGGACTTTGAGTTTTTTGTACTTGAATGTAGTGAAGAGAAAAACACTTACAGGGGAGAAAACCCTGTAGGAAATACATGAACATCTGAGAGTAAAACAATGGAAGAAGTTAGAAAAGGGAGGCGATTCATCTATTAAGATAAATTAATCTTAATATCACAGTACTTTTAAATTGGAGATTAACATGTGGTACTTTGCCTTGGGAAAATACATCAGGGCGATTTCCGAGTGTCCTTTGTCTTAGCACTGAAGCCTTCAAAGGGTCACAACCTGTCTCCTGGTCAAGCCACAATGAGCTGTCTCTCCTTCCAGGAACACAAAGAGGGTCTCAGAAAGAGCCAATGTGCATGAGACTTGAGAAAAAAATACCCTTCAGATGTAACCTAAGGAAAACAACAAGAAATGGCAAAACTTACCTAATGTGGGCTTGCCCACCCAGCCTTCTGTGCTTATTTGTTCAAAATCAATTTTGGTAATTTATCCTCTGTGATTTGAAAGTCCTGCCAATCTTGAGCCATTCTTTCCAGTTTTTAAAGGGCCCAGTCCATGGCCAGATGTGACTGCAACCTGAGCCGCCACGGCAGCCCCTGGAAGCCGGCACAGGGTTCTTAGGCACTCAGCCTTCCCTGAGAGAAAATGCAGTGCTCTTTCCTTAGTCACACTTTCCGTTCCATCCTAGGGATAAGTTCTCCTGGGCACTTACATGGTTATAATTCCGGTTGATATAGAGGCGGATGGGGTGTCCTCCTCAGGAATGCCACTGCGTGGCCCTCATATGTGAGAGAGGCTGAGGTGCCCTCAGAGCCAAGGCTTCCTTGTGAGGAACATCTATGTTTTGTTTCTAAGGAAACAAGGGCATCCAGGGCAAAATAGGAGCTACTTTACATGTGGGAAATATTAAGGGCAGAAAGAATTTGTGGAAGCAAGGCCAGAGTCACATTTTTTCTTGATTTGTCCCATGCTATTTTTTTCCTTTTGTTCTTTGGCCACCTTTACTGCAAACCCTTTGATGAAGAAAATCCAACCACTAGAGCAACAGAATGGGATTGCAGTTCATGAGAGAGGCCATTGATAAATTTAGGGACAGAGGCAGACCCCATTAGAGACTCTCATGGAATATTCACAAATGTTACAGGTCTAAGGGTTTCTATTATAAGGTCTTGTAAGAAGCAAAATAATTGAAAGAGCACACTACTGGTTTCTTTTTCCCCACACAATTCCCTGTCTCCTTTTCCTGTATTTCCAGATAAGCTTTATAACCAAGTAGAAAGGTGCTACTTGACAGGCTGATGCTTCCAGCCAGAGTACATTAGAAGTGAGACAGATGCAACTTCCATCCTACCCAAAAGAAATGTATTTACCACAGGTTGACTATTCAGGAAATTGAGCAACTTCCTGAGGAGATAAATATAATATGGTGGTTAAGACCAGACTGCCTGGGTTTGAATCCTGACTCTGTCTCTTACTCGCTGTGTAGACTCAGACCCATTGCTTAAACTCTCTGTGCAGTAGCCTGACCTGTACCTAACCTTCGGGTAAGAAGACAGCATGCCTCAAAAGGTAGTAGTAGGTTAAATGACCATTTACAACTGTATCTGTAGATAATCAATATATAAGTGTTATCTTTTATTATAAAAATTTTAAAGTAAATAACCCTCCCTGTGCCCATTAGAAAACACAGAATTACTAGACTTTAGATACTGTTTTGTACAAATTGCAATAGCAATTTTTCAAAAAACATTTTTCTAATAAAATGGTAATGGACGAAAAGAAATATCACTATAAAACAACATTATTTTTAGATTGAGGGAAATAGCGTATTGAGTCTTTAAGAAATTTGAAGTACACTCTGGGGTGCAAAATGAACTTATTCCCTGAAACCTGATTTTTATTTTATTTTTTTAAAAGATTTACTTATTTGTTTGTTTGTTTGTTTGTTTTTCAGAGAGAGGGGAAGTGGGGGAGAAAGAGAGGGAGAGATACATCAATGTGCAGTTGCCTCTCATACACCCCCAAATGGGGACCTGGCCCACACCCAGGCATGTGCCCTGACTAGGAATTGAACTAGTGACCCTCTGGTTTGCAGGCTGGCACTCAGTCCACTGCGCTACACCAGCCAGGGCTGAAACCTGACTCTTAATATAATACACTCATAAATGTATAAAATTAAACAAAAAATGACCAATGTGACATAAATCTCTGATCCAAAGACAAGTAGAAATTAGTAACAATCTCACATTAAGAGTCAAGAGACTCTTACTACAATTGAGACCTTAAATCAGAAATAAAACTAGAGAGACAAAGAGAAGCTCATTCCCACCTCACTTTCCCCCAACAATGCTGAACATGCTCTCGAAATTCACAGTGAACTTAGTCTTTTCAAATGGCAATGAATTTTATGTGTTCACCTGGCAGTGAAACTTGTGATTAACATCAAAGTCGTCATTTTATGTTATATATCTTTTACCACAATTTTAAAAAAACTTTAAGAGAGGCCTTTTTGTAAACGAATGAAGTCCTCAAATGCTTTTGACACAGCAACTCCTTTTATGATGTCATTGTGAAAGGCAAGCATGCAGTGTTATTATGTCAGCAAATTACAGGCTCCCTCAAATACTTCACCCTTTGTTATTTATTCTTTCTAAGAATCAGTACATGGTGGGTGAAAAGCTAAATTTTGTTGAAATCAATTTATTTAAAAAGAAAAACCTTAGCAGTAATTATATGATCTATAAAGAGAAATGATCAAGTGATGGCACTACTTTATGGACTGCCACCGGCCACCCCCCAAAGCCACGTGTTCTGCCCCCAGCCCAGCACTTCCGCAGATGCCTGGCAGAGCAGGGGGGCCTGGCTCTGCCTCTGCCTCAGGCAGCCATTAGGTCTGCAGATGCTCTCATTTTCAAAGTTGAAAACTTTGGCCAAAGTGATCTCTAATATCCCTGGCGGCTCAAGAATTCTATAATTCCATTACTGTTGCAATCTCCAACCCTGAACCCTGATTTTAAGCCTCTCGTTCACAAACAAATGAAAATTAACATCTTAAGTAAATGAAGAATTCTAGAAATAAGCATGAACTATCAAAATATATTTTTCTTGTTCCAGGATTTTACCGACAGCCAAAGCAATTTTATTAAAAACCTTCTACTTAGTGTGCAAAAGAACCATTTCTTTCCCCAGAGAGAGTTAATCACAGGCAGTGAGTGGGGATGACACCTTCCCCAGATGAAGCTGAAGCGTGCTCCTGTGGAGAAGCCAGTTCTAGTTTAATTTGCCAATTAAAAGTGGCCTGAGGAATCACACATGTCATTAAAAATACTATTCTTGTCACTCCTTTCCTCTGACTCAAGTTGCCCAACTACACCCCACAACTTAAATTTAATAGCACTTTTAAAACATTGGCTTTATCTAGGGTCCGTTGGGGACAGCACTCTCCACAGTTATAACCGCCATAATTTCCACAGATCTCCAGTCACTAACTCAACTCCATTTTTTGAGTGTTTACTGTATCCATGAAATTTACTAAGCATTGAGAAGACTTAAAAAGGAACTGGAAGGCTTGTTTTTGGCAAATTAATGGCCATTCACATTGGAAAACAGAGCCGTATGAAGCGTCTTTTACAGATCCCTCTTGTTGCATCTTTTGGTTCTACTTGGCTCTCCTTCACCCTGCCCTGTCTGTCTTGCCTGGTTATCTGTGGAATGACATTATAAGCATGGAACTGATGACCGAGGTTATACCTCTGTTAAAAAACCAAAAAAAAAAAAAAAAAAAGCTTGATTTCTTTTGTTAAAGGAGTTATATATTCTCTTCCCTTCTGAACTGTATATTGAGTTGGCATTACATGTAGGAAATAGAGTCATTTGAACTGAGTTACTTATTACTACTTAGCAGTTTCTTATGAGTCATACAACAACTAAAGGGTACAAGTCCAAAAGGAAACACTGCAAAGGTTCTGATGATGGTTTATTTTTAATAATGGCCCCTTTGAATAATATAATAATAAATGATAAAACTATGCTAATGATTTCCTACAGGTACTTGAACTCTATTCTATGTATACGCTGGCAGGTTATTTTGCATTGCCAAAGATACTTCCGGAAAGAGTCCATTGACTTCTGCCTAATAAAAACATTCATTACCATAGCTCACTAGGGGAAAGGTACTTTGCCCATCTTTACCCCCCAAATAGGATTACCTTGTTGCCTTGAAATCCCTTCGGGCCTGGGTCCCCTGGAGGTCCACTAATGCCCTGCTCCAAGATGAAAACCAAGAATTAGTCCTGGGTACAAAGGTCCAGCAGGAATGAATCATTCATTAAGACCACTAGAGGTTCCAGAGTTAGAATTGAGGCCATAATTCAGCTAAATTGTGGTTACAGGGGATTGAGAAATGGAATGAGATAAAATGCCTTGTGTCAAAAAAAAAACCAGTTTCTAAAATAGTACTTAAGCTGAGAGAGTAAACATTATTAATGAGGTGCTTGTTTTCTAAGCCTGTGTTTCCAACCTTATTTCTGTACTGGACCCTTTTTTTGAAAGATTTCAAATAAACGACTTTTAAAAAAATATCTCAGTCATCTGTAACTGAAAGTTGGAGCTTCCAATGGCCCTGTAATGGGCAGAGTGACTGTCCGACATTGGCACAATTCCAGGCCAGAGGGAAGGACTTGATGGTTAACTAGATGCTATCTAGGAAATCTTGGGTAAAATATCATTTTCAGAAGAACTTTTTGAAATACTGAAGTCAACTCTTCACATACCAACCCCCCCGCCCCCGCATTATAACTGTGGAAGAGGCAAATTCACAGACTAGACAAAAATCATCCAAATTATTATTTTTTAATCTATGGAATATGTCTAACTTAAATAAATACCTTAAAGAATCATTCCATTTTACTGAGCATCAACTACTTATAGTGACAAAACAACACAAATATTTAATTTAGACAAAATGCGTAACTCTTCCAACTACATTTTGGTAGCACTGCAAGAACTAACTGTTCTGCTTTTACAGAACATTCTGCTTTTCATTCCTTGGATTTTAGCTGTCTTTCTAGACTCTAATTTATAAACTTTTATCCCATTGACTACTCACTAAGTAGACTCCGCTGCTGGTACCGATCTTTAGGGAGCCTGATTAGTCATTAAAACATTAGGGTAGTGGTTTCCAAACTTGGCTGCACATGGGAGTCACTTAGGGGTCTTCAAAAATATTGATACCTAGATCCAGTCCCCAGACATTCCGATTGAATTGGTAGGGGGTGCGAGTGGACAAATGGATTTTAGAAGCTCCCTAGGTGAGTATAGTCCAGATTTCAATTTGGTTTTAGCCTCCTTACCTGAGGTCCTCTGGGTCCTTTTGGCCCATAGGGCCCTGGGGATCCCTGTGGAAAAAAATTAATGGTAAGTCACTTACAATATCCACCTTCAAAGTGCAATAATTTTAGGTGGAAGAGAAGGGAATATGTTTTCAGTAATAGCCAGTCTTCTTTGGTTATCCACACATCTAAGTCAACAAATTCATTGTTAATGAAATGATCCTAATTAACAAGTCAAATGGAGGTCAAATGTCCCTTTAGCAAACAAACTCCATGAAAACATAATATTAAATATAAGTTCTTGGCCTATATATTGACATTTTGATCAAAGTAAAGGGTTTCTTAAAATTCCTTAGAAAGCAGTAAACTTTGGCGAAATACTGTTTTCTTCCAACCAGGTCATGTCAGTTAAATTCATTTAGTGAGTTTCTCTGATGTCTAGACTGCTCTTTTGCCTGCCTTCAACACACAGAACTTGGCAAAAACACTGAATATACCTCACACACTTCTAGCAGAAAATATTTCAGTATGTTTCATGACTAGGAAACTCTTCAGAGTATTTTTATTAGAGTGCAATATAATCTAGGATCTCTTTTCTCAGATTTTTACTTCTTTTCCTGCTTTTGTTGTATGTGTTTCTACACACTGCTATTAGCATATTTTCATCCACTTTTATTCCCAATCCATTTTTCTTCAAATAATTTGATCAGAGTGTATATACAATTTTATATCCTACTTATTTGGTCTTCTGTTGTATCAAAAATATTTTTCTATGTCATTAATAACTCCTAGTAAACTGAATAATATTAAAAAATATGAATCTATTATGATTTTCTTATTCCACTAGTTTGGACATTTAAATTGTTTTTGATGATCACTATTTAAATAATGTTATAAAAACAGCCTTTATGTATACATCTTTGTCCAACTTCCAATTCATTCTTAAGGATAATTTCCTAGAAGAGGCTGCCTGAGACAGAGACAGAAAATAAGCTTTTAAGATTCTCTCTCATTCTCTTTTGTCTCTCACATCTTTTATGGTAAGGAAATATGAAATTTTCCTCAATAAAGTTTGTTCAGATTTCCATTCTCACTACCCAGGTCGAGAGGGCACATCTTCATCTTATAGAATCCCCATCAACACTAAATATTACATATTATTTCAGTGTTTGCTGATTTGATTGGTGAAATAATATTTTAATGTTCTAATTTAACTTATCTGATTGCTAATGAATTGAATATTATTCATTTATTAGCCATTTATATTTTCTTTTTTGGGTTTTCTGATTCTTTGTATGCTTTGCTTATGAATTTATATAAATTCGCTTCATGTCAAGGACTATTATTTAATTGACTCTAGACATGCATTTTTCAAATTTTTACTTCTCTGACTTTGGGGTACATCTTATAATCAATTGCATCTTTATAATTAACAATATTTTTTTCTTTCTTTTTGGCACAGAATACAATAGGGCCTTTAACAATCCTTGGCATCTTAGTCAATGAAATATGATACTAACTCTTTGTCAGCCGCTTTTGTTTCAAATACTGTTCCCAGTTAATTATCATTTTTGTCCCGTTCTGTATGTGTCCTTCCTATATTTTTGAACCCAAGTTCACCTCTCATTTTCAGTTATCTTCCAGGAAGAATCCATTCATTATCATACTTTCCATTTTGCCCAGAGATAATTACCAAGCCTACATTTTGTTGGACCCACCTGACCTTTCACTCTGCAGCAGTTAAAAAGCTTTCAGAAAGTCTCAAGCGTTTACTGACACGGGCCACTATCATTATCTTATCCTTTCCTTTTCACCTTCTGCCTCATTTTCTTTCCTTGACTCTCTGCCATAATTAAAACATAAATATTGGAAGAGTTTCGTGTCTTAGTGCCTGCTCTTAATAGTTTTTAACTGTAATGAAAACCGCTTTTACTCTGTGCTTTTTTTTTTTTGACCCTTTATTATTATATTTCAAATGCACTCTGTATGTCTGGTCCATTAAGGAACTCCTTAACATATGTAATATTGTCTCCATTTTAAATAATTTATTCATATTTATTTTTTAATGAAAAGTAAATCCCTCCTCAATAGTCTGTAGCTTGCTAGATTTTCAAAATTTCGAACTTTTATCTGTGTTCGCTTCTGCCACACTATTTATAACTATTTCATTAATTTATTTCATAGAGTTCTTCACTCTGCTTTGGGAAGTGCTTGGTCTCAGTGTTTACACCTAGAAAACAATCCCACTTTTTCCCAGTGGAGCTTGAATTGACTTTTTGATGGTTAAATTATTCTTTCCGCCATAACATTCAGTAGGCCTGACCTGAAAGATTAGCAGATCACAAAGCAAGGTCTTAATGGAACATAAGAAAGGCATTTGGGGACACTATTACTTGAAGTTAGGTATGGCTTTATCTTCTGCTTCGTGTTTTACTGATGAGAAAATTGAGCCAATGACTCTCTGAATTTAGTAGTAAGATCAGGACAATGCATCCTAGGAATTTCCTACTGTTTAATTATTTGTTTTTTAATAAGTAGAGTTGGTATACAACCTTATATTGGTTATATTAGTTTCAGGTATACAATATAGGGGTTCAACATTCTTATAACTTACAATGTGATCACCCCACTGATCCTAGTAATCATCTGTCACTGTGTCAACTTGTCACAATATTGTTGACTATATTGTTCCCCTTCCCCTTTTCACTCATGCCCCACTCCTTCCCTTCTGGTAACCATCTCTTTGGTCTCTAGTAAAGCAAAATAAAACAAACAAGCAAGCAAGCAAACAAAAACAGACTCATAGAAGCAGGCATTTAGTCTTAAGGAAACTCAGCCGCATAAGATCACAACTGTTAGCATTTTAAAAACATGTTCCTTACTTTGTCACCTTTTATTCCTGGTTTACCACATTCTCCACGTATACCCTAAAAATAGAAGAATAAAATAAATCAGAGGACATTTGCAGTCATTCAGTGTTAGGCTTTCTTTTAAAGACTCCCAGCAGCATCTCACGACAGGAGCACTGTGATGGATTCCACTGAATGTTATCCTTGATCCTGTGGGTTCTCTGGGCATCAAAGTCTGAAAAATTGTATCCATAAGTCATCTTTAAATTGATAGAATCAAATCAGTGGTACCACCTAAGAGGCTTACCATTTTGGAGAGGTGGATGAAATTAAAAGAAAAGAAGCTAAGGTTTACTGACCATCTACCATATATTATATGCCCTTTGTGTGTGTGATTTAGTTCAATCCACAGTGCAGCCCAGTGAGATCAGTTTTACAATTCTTGCTGTACAGATGAGAAAACTTAAGCTCCATGAGATAACTTCTCCCCATCATGGAGCTACTAAGAATCGAAGTCTGAACTCAGGTCCACCCCGTCTCAGAGTCCCTATGGTATCCACAACACCGTGCTCCAGCCCCAGTGCCAACTTTGAGCAAGCAGTAGATTTTGCCTCAAGAACGTGAGGAAAAAATTCTGAGACTCTGTTGTGACTTGGTAGGGAAAGGAGGACTGATGACTTAGCAGGATCTGCTGTGAGGGAGAGTGGGGCGTGGGAGCCAGCAGGCTGTGTATTTTCCATCCTCATTCTCCACTGTACTGCCTTTCCTGGAATATTCATTAAAAAACAAACAAAAAAACCCCTAATACATACATTATACTTCACATTTTCTTATTAATGTTATTTTACAGAAATTATCTCGGTTAATCTGTCGTTAACTGTATAAGGTAGATATTATTTGCCCAGTTTTGCAGTCCGAAATTTTGTGATTCAAAAGATTAAGTAACTTGCTCAGACTTCTAACACTTCTAAAAATTGAACTAAAATGTAACAGAATCAATGAAGAGTAATACTAAAGTTCGAATTGCAGAGTGCTTTCATATATATGTTCTAAGCCTCAAAGCAATTCATATTTTTAAGATAAGCGATCTCAGTTGGAGAGAGGTAAATGGTTTACTTAAATGTACTTGCTAGCCAGTGACTCCTGGTCCAGTGCCCTCACTACCGGTTTCTGCTTCTGCGGCTGCTGTATTTCCTGTGTGCTGCTCTGAGGCATGCTACTCAGAAATGCCACTGCACAACGACAAAAGGGACTTGCACTAACATGTACGTCAGTGCCCTGCTTCCTTCATCAAGGAAGTCTTGCTATGAAAAATAAATGTCAGCTGAACTAAACAGTGTACTTAGTGAGCTAGTGGAATTATATTCTGGTGCAAGCTTTATTTCATCACACAGCAGCAACAAACAGTTCACAGACTGACAGCCAGCCTGCAGGTCACGTTTTGAATAGCGTTGCTCCAAGAAGGGAAAATCACAACTGTAACCACCAACTATGGATGCAACGTATGGGCCAAAGCTTTTGCATTATTGCTAATCCCCACACCAGCCTTGCAAGGTCGATACAATTTTCATTCACAGATAAGGAAAATGAGGCTCAGAGATTAAGTAATTGGCCCAGGACCACAAGCTGAGTCTGGTAGACTCTCAGGCCCATGTTCTTCATTAGCGACCCAAAGCTGAACGCAGCACACTGCTATGGTCTGCAAGTTACTTCCCACTGACTTGACATTTGTGCCTTGAGTGCTGCACAGGGCATTGCTGGCATGGGAGCAGGGAAGAGGGAGGTGCAATTCTTCCATCCAGCTATGCCTCTGTTCAAAAGCAACCTATTCTTCTCCATATCATGTGAGTCAAACCAACCCAGGAAAAACTGAGCTTTCCCTTAGAACAAGCTGAACATTTATTTCTGAATGCAAATGGAAAATCATTCATGAAGAATCAATGAGAAAGCAATTAATGTAATAATGTTGGATGGGAATAAAATGAGTCAACCACCAAAATATTAAACAGAAAAGTACCATAAATACACTCAAAATCATGTTGGCCAGAATTCACATTCCATTAGTCCTGACAGATGTGTTAGTTATGGGGTCCTGAGAAACAGCATTTGTTTGGGGTGGGGGCAGATTCTCATCAAAGAAAATATTGTGCTCGTGTTTTTGGCCTCTGCAAAAGTGTTTTCTTTTTGGTAGGCCCATTAATTGCTGTGAAATGGCCACAATGACAGTTCCAGGGAGCAAGAGCTTCAGAAAGCTATGAACAGATTAGCTCTGTTCCCAGCCTCTGACCCCTGCTGCTGCTGCTCCTGGTGAAATCCTGGCTTGAAGGTCAGGGCCAGGGTCACTCTCTCTGACAGCTTATATGTTCCAAGTGAGATCTCCTCCAATGAGTCTATAAGTTTCCATGAATACTTTCTTATACATATGAAATACATATATCTTCCTGCTGTTGATGATTAGCTCATCGTATAAATCAAGATGGGGGGCACTCATAATTTTTCTCAACTATATATATATATATGACAAATTTGCAATCATGGGACTTTTTTAACTTTCACATATTATCATGTATTTCCTGACTCTTCCTAATAGCACCTTACATTTACAGGCCAGCAAAGCGTTTAGAATGCATTGTCACATCATTGTCCCGTTCGATTCTGTGAGAATTAGGGGGGGCCTGTATTAATCCAGTTCCATATGGATGATGAAATAGACACTCCAAGAGGTTGATCTGCCCGGGTCCTTGTGGCTAAGGGCAGAATCGTGGCATTTCTTACACTCTTCCCCTTGATTGGGGATATATTTATTTTTCCATAGGAAGGTTTACTCCTCATATTTGCAGAGCTGAGGGATGAGTGCTAGCAGAGGCCCACATACTGTGAATCTAAATAGCAGAAAGTGATAAATCGAGCTAATACACTAGTCATGTTCTAGCTTCCTTTCTTGACAAATAAACCTTGAAAGGAAATTTAAAAATTAAAGAATCTGGGGACTCCTCAGAGGCCCATGCAGGAGTACAGCCCCAGCCTAGAGCCCGGCTCCGCCTCACTTCCCACCTCTGGCTCCTTCCACAGCAAGAGAGGCTGTGAGTGCGTGCAGCGAAGGTGCCCCGCCAGCACAGCACAGCTGCCTCCAGGCCCCCTGCTCCCAGAGCAAACAGCTTCCATTTGGTTCCCTCTCAGGCCTGGGAAGAAGGGGACATGGGAAAGAGGTGTGTGTATGTCCTCAAAGCAGGCTCAGGTCATTTTGCAGGGACATTTGGGGTCTTGGTTACCCAAAGCATGATTTAGGCCCAGCGGGCACAGGCGTCTTGTCCTGTAAATCCTCGCTTGGGGGTGGGGGGCAGAGGAGACCCAGAGCAGGACCCCCTAAAGTGAGGCCTCTTGCCCAGGTCTGAGGGTTGTACCGCCTGTAGGACAGAATGGATGGCAGGGACCTCTTCAGATTTCAGAGAGAAAATCTGATCATAGAATAGTGACGACATTAATGAACCACTGAGCACTCACAAAGGTTCCTGAGTTCCCGTTCAACTTGTTTATTTCTTTTGAATCAGGATGTTAATTTCTTTTGAATTAGTTTGATCAGCTTCCTAATTTGTAATTTGCAAATAATCTACAAACCCATTCCTTTTGTTTGTTTGTCAGATTTACTGTCCCCCTACAATCTCTACCCAGATGCTTAACTGAAGGAAGTCAGTGGTTCTACACTGTTTAACCAGGATAAATCCTCTTTTAAGAGGGTTGGCTGTCTAGGTTGTATAGGAAATTAAGCACCAAAGGAACAAAGTTATTGCAGTATTCCTGCCTCCATTTGTACTTGGTAATTTTTAGTCTGGATATGTGTGACGCATGGCTGTTAAGTTCAGGTTTTCTATTCGTTTTTACAGAGCCCAGGGAAACTGGATACCAAGCTTAGTAACCTCAGGGTTTCTTACAATACACACCCATATCATAAGTTATATTACTATGTTGTATCAATAGAGCTTAGAGTATATTAGTGAATTAGGGAATCCAGACTTACAAAAATAACTTTTATTCAGTACATAAATACAGTGATATTTTTGTTTTTCTTTCTGGAATTCTAGTCTATTGGTTTTTACAAACTTACCTTCTCACCCTTGTACCCAGGAATTCCCTAATTTAAAAAAAAGAAAAGAAAAAGAAAATATGATATTAGAAGGCATAGTTGGAGGAAATATTTGATGTTTTTCACTTATAACAAAACGTATCAGTACCGTCTTGGAAAATAAGACCATGTATACGTAGGCTATTTCACTTTGCACTTAGGGACTGTACATTTACTAGGGAGAAAGAAAAAAAGTCTATTTTTCCTTTTATTACATTCTGTTCTTAGTACTAGGTATTTTTTCAAACCCAATTTCTTGCCCTTTGGCCTGAAGCTGAAGGAAAAGCTATAAACTGAACCTCACTGTAGAAGTGAAGACCTATAATTGTCCTCTCAAAATGGTTGTATTGACTTCTAAACTATGAATTATCTTAGCTGAGAATTGGCTTTGGGAATGATCTGGGATAATGTCCTTTAAAATGTATGTAAATATTTATATTCTTTATGGTCCTCCTTTCAGATTCAGGTAGAATGTAAATATCAAGAAAATGAAAGGTTCTTTTTCAATTCTAATGAAGCAGTGACCTTTAAGTTACTATATTTTATCTTGTGCTAAATAAAGGGCCTGAGTGCCTGCTCCTTATTCTGTGTCACTCCTGGAACCCCTGCACAGCCGTCTCCATTGTGATGCTGCACATATGCCCTTTAAGTAACACAATACTGAGTGTTAAAGGGACTGGGAGGTTACCAACTTTAAGGGACAGCAAGTCCTTCTCAAATAGGATTTCATGTCTTCTGCATACAGCTGTGGTTTTCAAGTATGAAAATAGAATTGTAAGACATATTTTAAGTGGGCTGGAGAAACCAGTGGAATAGACAAGCTATACTTGCAGTTACATGTGAGTTTGTCTACAAAATTTTGTTCTGTGTGTGACTTTTTTTACAAATGGTAAAAAGGAAAACTTCAGGGAGGAAATAACATTTCTCACCAAATGAACATAGGGGTACTTATGTTCTTTTGAGTCAGTGGTTTGGGTTCTGTCAGATATATTCCCAGAAGTGGGATCACTGGGTCAAAAAGCAGTTCTGTTTTTAATTTTTTGAGGTATCTCCATACAGCTTTCTACAGTGGCTGCACCAGTCCACATTCATACCTACAGTGCAAAAGAGTTCCCCTTTCTCCACATCCTGGCCAGCACTTGTTTGCTGATTTATTGATGACAGCCAATCTGACAGGTGTGAGATGGTATCTCATTGTGGTTTTCATTTGCATTTCTCAGATGGTTACTGAGATTGAGTATCTTTTCACATGTCTATTGGCCATCTGTATGTCCTCTTTGGAGAAGTATCTATTCAAGTCCTTTTCCCATTTTTTAAATTGGGCCATTTGGTTTTTTTGGTGTTAAGTTTTGTAAGTCTTTATAAATTTTGGATATTAACCCCTCAGATGTATTGGTGAATATGTTCTCGCATTCTGTGGGTTGTCTTTTTATTTTGTTGATGGTTTCCTTTGCCGTGCAAAAACTTTTTAGTTTTATGTAGTCCCATTTTCAAATTTTTTTTAAAATTTTGTTTCCTTTACCTGGGAAGCTGTATCTGAAAAAATATTGTTATCAGCTATGTCTGAGATTTTGCTGCCTATGTTTTCCTCTAGGATTTTTATGGTGTCAGGTCTAACATTTAGGTCTTCATTCGATTTTGAGTTTATTCTTATGTGTGGTGTAAAGAAGTGGCCTAGTTTCATTTTTCTGCATGTATCTGTCTACTTTTTCCAGCACCATTTATTGAATAAACTATCTTTAGCCCATTGTATGTGTTTGCTTCCTCTGTCAAATATTAATTGACTATGAAGGTGTAGGTTTTTTTCTGGGTTCTCTGTTCTGCTCCGTTGACCTATGTGTCTGTTTTTATGCAGTACCATGCTGTTTTGATTACTATAGCCATATGGTATAGTTTGATATTAGGAAGCATGTTCCTTCAACTTTGTTTTTCCTTCTCAGGATCACTGTTGCTATGTAGGGCCATTTGTGGTTCCATATACATTTGTGAAATATTTGTTCTAGTTCTGTGAAATACATCAGTGGAATATTGATAGGAATTGCATTGAATCTATAGAAAGCCTTCAGCAGTATGGACATTTTAATGATGATATTCCTTCCTACCCATGAACATGATATGTGCTTCCATTTATTTGTCTCTTCTTCAGTTTCTTTCTTCAGTGTCTTATAATTTTCTGAGAACAGGCCATTTACATTCTTGGTTAGGTTTATTCCTAGGTATTTTATTCTTTTTGAAGCAATTGTGAATGGGATTGTTTTCTTAATTTCCCTTTCTGTTAGTTTGTTATTGGCATATAAAAATGCCAGTGATTTCTGGATATTAATTTTTGTATTCTATTCCTAGTTTGCTGAATTAATTTATCAGTTCTAGTAGTTTCTTGGTGGAATCTTTGGGGTTCTCTATGTACAATTATCATGTCACTTGCACATAAAAACAGTTTTACTTCCTCCTTTTCAATTTGGATGCCTTTTATTTCTTCTTCTTCTTGTCTGATTGCTGTGGCTAGGACTTCCAGTACTATGTTGAATAAGAGAAGTAAAAGTAGACATCACTATCTTGTTCCGGATCTTAAGGGGAACACTTCTAGTTTTTGCCATTGAGTATGATGATAGCAGTGGGTTTGTCATAGATGGCCTTTATTATGTTCCCTCTATTCCCACTTTGCTGAAAGACTTTATCATAAATCGTTGCTGGATATTATCAAATGCTTTTTCTGCATCTATTGATATGATCATGTGGCTTTTAATCCTTCATTTTGTTTATGTGGTAAATCACATTTATTGATTTGTGAATGTCATACCAGCCTTGCGTTATCGGAATAAGTCCCACTTGAGCATGGTGTATGATCTTTTTGATGCATTGCTGTATTAGGTTTGCTAATATTTTGTTATGAATTTCAGCATCTTTATTCATCAGAGATATTGGTCTGTAATTTTCTTTCTTTATAGTATCTTTATCTCATTTTGAAATTAGAATACTGCTGGCCTCATAAAATGAGCTTGGGAAGCTTCCCTCTTCTTGAATTTTTTCGAAATAGTTTGAGAAGGAGAGCTGTTACTTCTTCTTAGAATGTTTGCTAAAATTCACCTGTGAAGCCACCCAGTCCGGGGCATTTGATTTTGGGGAGTTTTTTAAATTACTGCTTGAATTTCACTAGGTGTAATCTGCCTAATCAGATTCTCTGATTATTCCTGATTGTTTTAGAAGATTGTATCTTTCTAGGAATTTATCCATTTTGTCCAGGTTGTCCAGTTTGTTGGCTTTCAGTTGTTCACAGTATTTTTTTTACAATCCTTTGTATTTCTTTGATGTCAGTTGTTATTTCTCATCTTCCATTTCTGATTTTATTTATCTGGGTCATCTCTTTTCTTGATGAGACTGGTCAAATGTTTGTCAATCTTGATTATCTTTTCAAAGAAACAGCTCTTGGATTCCTTGATCTTTGATACTGTTTTTTTACACTCTGTTTCATTTATTTCTACTCTGACCTTTATTATTTCCTTCCTTCTACTCACTTTGGGCTTTGTTTGTTGTTCTTTTCTAGTTCCTTTAAGTGTAAAGTCAGATCATTTATTGAGCTTTTTCTTCTTGGTTTTTTTTTTGTTTTGTTTTTTTTTAGATAAGCCTGTAATACTATGAATTTCCCTCTTAGGATTGCTTTCGCTCTGTCCCACAGATTTTAGATTGTTTTGTCCTCATTTTCATTTGTTTCAAGGTGTCTTTGGATTTCTTCCTTGATCTCTTTGTTGATGCGACCCATTCATTGTTTAGTATCATGTTATTTAGCTTCCATGTCTTTGTATGTTTTTCAGTGCTCTTGTGATTGACTTCTAGTTTCATAGCATTGTGTTTAGAGCATAGACTTGATATGATTTCAATCTTCTTAAACTTACTGGGAGTTGTTTTGTGTCCTAACATGTGGTCTATCCTAGAAAATGTTCCACATGCACTTGAAAAGTATGTATATTCTGCTGCTTTGCAGTGAAATGCTCTGAAGATATCAATTAAATCCGTTTCATCTAGTGTGTTGTTTAAGGCCACTGTCTCCTTGTTGGTTTTCTGCCTGGAAGATCAATGCATTGAAATAAAGTGGGGTGTTAAAATCCCCAACTATGACTGTATTTCTCTCTACCTCTCCTTTTATGTCCATCAAGATGTGCTTCACATGTTTAGGTGCTCCTACGTTGGGTGTATAAATGTTTACTAGGGTTATATCCTCTTGTTGGATTATTTCTGTTATCATTATGTAGTGCCCTTCTTTGTCTTTTACTAGAGCCTTGGTTTTAAAGTCTATTTTGTTGGATATAAGTACTGCTACCCCAGGTTTTTTTCCCTTTCCATTTGCATGAAATATCTTTTTCCACCCATTTACTTTTAGTTTGTGTGTATCTTTCGATCTGAGATGGATCTCTTGGAGGCAGCATATATATGGTTCTTATTTTCTTATCCTTTAAGCTACCCTGTCTTTTGGTTGGAACATTAACATTTAAGCCATTTACATTTAAGGTGATTATCTATAGGTAAGTATGTAGTGCTCTTTTAGTGTTGACTGTTTTCCTCTGGGTTTTTTTTTTCTCCTTTCTCTTTTTCTTCTTCTTCTTCTTGTTAAAGCAAGCCCTTTAACACTTGTTGCAGTACTGGTTTGGTGTCAACAAACTCTTTTAACTTTTCCTTTTCTGGGAAGCCCTTTATTTCTCCTTCAATTTTAAATGATAGCCTTGCTGGGTAAAGTAGACTTGGTTGTAGGTCTTTGCTTTTTATCACCTTGAATATTTCAGGCCACTCCCTTTTGGCCTGAGATGTTTCTGTTGAAAAATCAGATGAGTCTAATTTGTGTTCCCTTTTAGGGAACTACTTGCTTTTGTCTTGTGGCTTTTAGGATTTTCTCTTTGTCTAAGTGTTGCTATTTTAATTATGATATGTCTTGGTATAGGCATCTTTGGGTCCAACTTGTTTGGGACTCTCTGAACTTCCTGAATATGTATGTCTTTCTCCTTCACCAAATTAGGGAAGTTTTTGGTCATTATTTCTTCAAATAGGTTCTTGATCCCTTGCTTGTTTTCTTCTCCTTCTGGTAGTCCCATGATGCAGATGTTGTTACGCTTCATGTTGTCCAAAATGTTTCTTCAGTCCTCCTCATTTTTTAGAATTCTTTTTTCTTTTTGTTGCTCTGCCTGGGTGTTTTTCCTACCTTTTCTTTCTAGTAACTGAATCAATCCTCTACTTCATTTAACCTACTGTGTATTCCTTCCAGTGTTTGTTTATTTCAGATATTTCATTCTTTATTTCTGACTCATCCTTTTCTATGTCTTTTCATGCTGTTGAATATCCTTAAATCATTACTCTAAATTCTCTATCTGATAAATGGCTTGCTTCCATTTCATCTAGTTCTCCTGGCGAATTCTCTTGTTCTTTCATTTGGAGTTTGTTTTTTGTCTTCCCATTGTGGCTTCTTCTTTGTATTTGTTTCTATGTATTAGATAGATCTGCAAAGACTGTGGTGTAGACCTTTGTCAGGCACTGCTTATTACTGGCCTGGTCAACCTGTTTGGAGCTATCAATGATTCACAGCACGTGGCCCCCTCTGCTGGGCCTGTTTGTATGCAGAAGAACTAGGCTGTGCACCAAGTCCCACTTTTATCAGTACCAGTCCCAGGAGAGGGTCAGCTGAAGTCTCAGAGCTCCCAGAGATCTGCCTTAGTTGTTATACTAATCAGTGATATAGCCTTAAGCTGTGCTAGCAGCCCAGCTTAAGCTCCATGGGGTGGCGCTGAGTAATTCCTGTGGGCAGGGCTATTGCTTCCCCTCAGGCTGATGCCACTTGGAGGGGAGGGCTCTACCTGAGAAAGATAGACTCTGCAATATGGGGAATGACTCAGCACAGGGATCCCTGTAGCTGTTCCTTCAGTTCTCTCCCCAGAGCCAACAGCCCCAGACTCTCCTCATTTGTCTCTAGTCCACTCTTCCTTCCCTCTGCCAGAGCCCAGGGTAAGTGACTGCAAATGGCATTTTGTGTGTTTTCACTTTAAGACGCCTTCTACATCTCCAGCCATCTCTCCCTGGTAGACAGAAACCCCCACTGTTCTGGGCAGCTTGATGTTATCTGGGTTCCTTTCTAAGCCCTTATGCTGTAAGCTGGGAAGCGCCGCTTGGGGTTTAGACACCACACTCCTCAGGGGGAACTCTCTGGCCACGGAAATATCCCTTCAGCACTTCAGCTGCCTCCTGTGGGAGCCCAGCCAGCCTTTTCATGCCTCCTCCACACTCCCTACAAGTCATATGTGGTAAAGTAGTTTCTTCTGTCTATTCTTGGTTATAAGGCTTCTCTCCAGCTAGTGTTCAGTTGGTTATTCAGGGTGATTTCTCTACAATTTAGTTTTAATTCCAGATTGGCCCTGGGAGGAAGTTAATGTAGCTTCCACTTACTCCTCTGCTACTTTGGGTCTGCTCCCATCATTACTTTATGTTAAAAGAGTTAGATTGTATTTAGGAAGGAGCCAATAGAGTTTACAAAAATAAAGAAACATTACTTTTATAGTATATGATTCTCTTTTTGTTCCCTGTTTTTCTCTCTGAAATCTCTGATTCATTTACTATTTGGTTGCTATCAGTTTCCTTCCTTCCTTTCCTTCATGGCATCTTAATGACTAGTTTTAAAATATTCAAATTTAACATATCCAAAACTGCACTCTTGGATCTCTGCCAAAATTGTTTCTGACTTTCTTATTTCTATTAACGCTATCATATTTCAAATCACACAGTCTCAAAAACTTATAATCATATTTCCTCTCTACTTGCCCCTTACATTCCTTTAATCCAACCAGTTAAAACTCCCCAGCAGCTTCCACTGCACTCATTTTAAATCCATTGCTACCCTGGCCAACGAGGCTCTATTGATCTAGTCCCAGCTGGAGCCTTATCTCCCACCACTGTACCTCAAGTCCTGGCTCTGACTGGTCCTGAGCCAAGATTGTTCCCACTTCAGAGCCTTCATCCCTGCTGTTCTTTCTGCCTAGAACACCCTCATGACCTTGTTTTACATTTCCATAACACTTCTCACTGACCTAAATTCTTATTCATTTGCTTGCCTATTTATTGCCTCCCCCTGCTAGGACATTATGAAACAAGAATCGTCTCGCTCACTCCTGTATCTGAGCACTTAAAAGAGGTCCCAAGACATAGAAGGTGCTCAATATATATTTGTTGAATATGTGAATTAGAGTTAACCACCACATTGTATCACTTCTTCCCTTTCATGGTTCTTCCGATGTCCTCTTCCCTTCTGTTTTGTCATCACCATAGGCCAGTTTTGTCCAATATAATGGGAGCCCCAGATGGGAGTCCCATATTTAATTTTAAATTTCCTAATGGCCACGTTAAAAAAGCAATGAGTCGGTGAAATTAATTTTAATAATATATTTTATTTATCTCAGTAGGTCCAAAACACTGTGAGTTCAACACGTAATCACATTAAAAATGATCAATGAGATAGTGTACATGTATTTTTGGGATACTAAATCATCAAAATTCGGTGTGTATTTTATTTCTAAAGCACACCACAATGTCATGTTTCAATCGCTCAGTTAAGCACATGTGGCTGGCCGCTTTCACCCTGGCCAGAGCCACTCTAGCCAGTGTCCCTATTATTTCTCATACAGGCTATAGCTATAAACCTTCTAAGTGTTTCCTCCTTCTGCTTATTCCCATTTCAATTTCTCTTTCAGAGCCATGCTACATTAATCTTCCAGATACAGAGGTAGCTCCTATGTCAAATGCTTCATCTAAAATTTTGGGGAACGCCCATCACCTGGCAAAGCCCAGGCCTTACAAGCAGCGTACAGCACCCACTCTGATCCTCCAGCTGTAACTGACACTAGCCCCCTTCAGGCACCCTGTGCCACCGTTTCCCAACACACTGCCTTCCCTTTGGCTGCCCTCATGGCCCTCTCCGTCTGGAATGCCTGTCCCCTTCCACCCTCCTGTTCTGTCCTTCCTGTCATAATCCTATACTCTTCAGGGGTCTCCTCATAAAACTAGCCCAACTCCAACCCCTGAATTCCTATACTACTTTGGACAATTTTCACAACATTTTGACACTCTGCTTTAAATAGTAGGTATTTTAAATATCTTATCTCTTCTATGAGTAAATAAACATTTCAAAAATGTAAGTACTTTGTCTTAACTTTATTTTCACTTAATACTATGCATTATATGTAGAAGATAACCAAGAAATGTTTCCTGAATAAATAACACAAATTCTGAATGGATTTCCATTGAAATTATCAAAACTTTCCATGATATTTTTCATGAAGTTGATTAAAAACACCAAAAGAACAGTTTTTCAAACCTCCGGGTCTGAGTGTTGGGCTTTGACACAAGGAGACAAACTGAGAGGAGAAATGTAACATGGCCGCCCTTTGCTTACTATATATTTGTCTGCTATTTTCTACACTAGTAATGAAAAATTTTTCTGTAATTATTTCTCATACAATCTCCGGTATGTTCTAATTTTAGGAATAATCAATCAACTAGAATAATTTCTCTCTCCCTCTCTCTTTTGGTCTGCAGAATTGGACTTACAAAAGCATAGTTAAGAATATGTAACTGTTATGGCCCCAGAATTTAAATTTCCTCTTTATTGCAAAAACAAAAACAAAAACAAAAACAAAAAACCCACAAAGAAAAACACACACAAAAAAAAAACCCAGAAGTAAAGCAAAATATTTTTCTTACTTGAGCCTTTCATAAGTATCCAGTTTAGTGTCAGGGAATGTCATGTGGTTGACCACTTATCCCATCGGCACTCCCATTGAGGAGTGTTGTCTCTCACACTTCCACTTCTAAAATCGTGTATGTCTGACTTGTCTGAGACATCACTAGCTCATGTAGATATAAATCATTTTCGAACTCACACTCTGGGGATCAAAGCGATCAATTCCAGAATCTAGCACCTGGGATTACATTCTTAAGAAGGCATTCCCGTGTGTACTTACCCCTGGGCCTCTTTCTCCAGGTTCCCCTTTTTGAGCATCACCCTGTAACAAACAAAAACTCAGTCAGAATTCCACCGCCCTGCAGAGGGACTGATTGCTCAATAAAATGCGTTATTCAAAATTCCCGGATTAATAAATTAAGCCAATGGGTGGGGGGGAATCTCTGGCCTTTCCCATTCACATTTTCACTATGCAATCCAGGGAAGAAATAGCCGCTCAGATAGCCTTTGCCCTTTGGAGTGAAGCCAGATGTGGAGGGCACCAAAGCCGGGTACATTTTCACAGCTTAGGCGGGGTCTTACACCCCAGTTTAACAACACAGCCGTTGTTCTCAAACACAGCGTTGTACCCACTGGGAGCCAGCCACTCTGGCTTTTCTCCAAGAGGCTGTGGAATGCTTTCCAAAATGTCCTAAAGACTGATTGCTTGATTTCAGCAAGACTTAGGAAAATACATTATGTGGCACAAAATTACAAGCCAAATAAATGAAATATGAACATAGACTTATAACAGGTATTTAATAAAACAAAACCAAACAAAAAAAAAGTGATGGCATTAATTTGAACCCATATAAGGTGAGTGAGTGTGGGGGGAGGGGGCGGTGCGTGTATCATAAAGCAACTCAAAGATGCTTTACGTTCCCTTTCTTTGACAAACATGCAATTGGAAAAAATACTTTAATGCATCTAACTTATCATATTTTTCATCACATCCCTAAATATATTCTGAGAGATGAATTATTGGGTTAATTTTTTGAATATTTGAATGCCTCTTATGTAGTGCCCAATTGTTTTCCAAAATGTCCCACTTTACCTTTGCAATGAAGAGCAAACCAGTTTCACTACAATATTTCTAACACTAGTTATTATTATTTTAATATTGCTGTGTTAACTGTTACAAAGAATGATTTTTAATTTGAAACACAGCATACACCCAATTATGTGAATTAGAAAATGTTTCCCCTCCCAACCCCAAAATACAACCCAACAACTGTGAACTTTCAAGTTCTACAATGTAAATAACTAGTATTAAAGTGTACCTCAATGTCTCTGTTTTAAATTTCATTAATTATATAGTAAAATTAAATGTTTTTTATTTATTTATTTACTGATTTTATTTCCTTTCTTGAAAATTATTTGTGCCCTTTGACCATTTAATTATTAGATGGTTGATATTTTGTCATCCATTTTACTGTCTTTAGGCACTATGGAAATTAACCTAATGTCCATTTTATTTGATGAAAACATTTCTCTATATGTTTTCCTCCTTCTTTTAATTATTATTTTTCATTATATAGAATTTTGCCTTAAATTTTCACAGTTACATCTGCTAGTCTCTGTTTTGTGATTCTAAAACTTGGAACAATGTTATCCCAACAATGATCTGACCAGATAATTAAAAATAATCTATAATTTGTTGACGGGAACACAAAGAAAAGAACTGAGGAAATGCCTGAAGAGTGAGAGACAATCTGATGTTTTTTCTATTATTATTGTAGATCAGTTATCTACAAAGTGGATGTATTAAAAAAATGTGTATAAATCAATCTGATATGGAACATGTCTTAATAATTCATGGAACATTGTGATAATTAATTTGGGACACGATTATTTGTATTAGAAGTTTCTATTTATTGGGTCCCAAGGTTTCCTTTATGTATTGACCAACATGACCATATGTTATATGAATGCAAGCTAAACAAACCAGATCGATAACACAGGAAGTGAATATCCAGTACTTCTCATAGAAATCATCAGATTTTTTGGCATTGACATATATTGCAATGCTCTTTGTTTTCTTTGTTTTTGTTCTTTAAATAAGTTCAGAAGATGCACTGGTTTAAAGGAAAGTTGTTAATTCATTTACCGGGTTTCCTTTCGGTCCTCGCTCACCTTTGATACCTGGGTTTCCATGGGTACCCTGAAGGCAAAGGGAAAAAAGATTATATTGAGCCATTCCATTAGCTTCCTACATCTTACAGTAATTCCTGATCAGCTTCATCCCATAAAATGAGGGAATATTGTAAAAAAAACTTTGCCTACCAAGAAAAGAGTCAATTCTCTTCTCTCCTTTCCTACACATAAGGAAGTCTGCACTGCCTTGCATAGACAGATTCTCTACATCATCCAAATCTTTAGTGTTTGTGTGTGTGTGTGTGTGCGCGCGCGTGTATGTGTTTGTGTGCGCACGCGCGTGCGTGTGTCTCCCTGATAGTCAAGGTACAATCTCGAAAGAGGAAAGAAGAGAATTCTCCAAATCCTGTCCCAGAAAGGCTCTTCATTTTCTTATTCTCCAACAATTAAAAAACTCACATTTCTGAGAACTGGTTTTGGGGGCACCCAATAAATGTCCCATAATACAGTTCTATGTCTAACCTTATTTAAACATGGGAGTATCTCTTCTAACAATATTGATTGACTAAAGTTGTCTAATTAGCTCGGCAATTGCAAGTTTTGATACTGTTCATTCTAAAACATAACTGAGCATCACAAGTGAGCCTCTCCTGGTGTCATGAGTATAAACTAAGACTTTATAGGGAAGGAAATCCAAGCTTTTGCTTTGGTTCAAGTCAGCTTCTACTGGCTGCCACATTAGCATGGAACGTATCAAACCATGTGTTTTGAAGGAAAAAAAGACAAACATTCCCCCTTTCTAATACATTGATTGGTAGAAAGGGTTGAAAAAGTATAGGCTTTGGATTCAAGTTTTAAGGTAAAAGGTATCACAGTCTAAGAAACTAACAGTACGCATCTCCCTTCCCGTTCCCCAAATATAAGCGTTACTTCAAAAATTTTACCCATGCCTTTTTGTGAAATATCTCCACTGTGCTTCTGAACATTCAGGTTTGGCATCACATAAATAAATGAAATACTGAAAAAGCATGGATGCTTTCCAATGATCTGGTGTTAGAGAAACGTTCAGCGCCTCCAGTCATCGTGACATTATTCTGTGTCACAGAGTTCACTCTGACCCCCAAGGCCTCCTGGCCAAAGCTTCCTCCACACAAGGCCCCACCATGTTGCCCTTGGATGAATGTAAAGATATGGTTACCTTCAGGAGAGGTCTCTGCCCCTTGTTTCTAGGTGGAGCATATAAAGGTTTGTCTAAAGCACTGAAATCTGGATAATCTCTTTCTATATTTTCACTTCGGTATTGAGAAATTCTGGCTCCAACTGCCACATAAGAGGTGATGCCGAAATAACCTTTGTGGGAACAAATTTGCTATTTTAAACCAAGTCTGACCTTAGTTCAGATCAGTAAAATCCCAGGCCTTATTCCTAAGGACAGAAGGCATCCTGTTAGGGGGGGAAAAAAGCACTTCTTTTTTTGCTCTATTTGCACACAAGAGGTTTTTGACAGCATGAAAAAGCCTGGCATTTGCAAATATGAGTAGAGTGATCATCACTGGGACTCCTGGCTGGACCCTAAATCTGAAGGAGAAATATACTCACCGGAGGCCCTGGCTCGCCTGGGTCCCCCTTCTCGCACTCACAGATCTTGCGTTCACACTGAAACAATAATGAAATACAGTATTAACACACTGTGAAAGACAGCATTTCAAATCTTATTCCATACATTACTAAAAGGAACACTCCGTTGAGGACATTTTACCTTGTAAGCTTATGGAGATTTTGCTCTTCCTATTAAATTCTTCTAGGAAAACTCAGATCTAATAAGAACCAGCTAATAAAATATTATTAAACATTGCCATGGTTAAATTAAAGAGACCTCCTGTCATATATGTGTGTGTGTGTGTGTGTGTGTGTGTATACACCTAAGTGTTAAAAAAGGGAAAGATAAACACTTTCAGTCGACTCTTGGAATTTCTGCTATTTCTCTTTTATATAACACATCAGAGCTCAATAATATACACATATCCAATACTTGTTTACTCAGCAAAGGAAAACATTTAACTTAAAACATATTTAATCAATTCTAAGATGCACATTTTTCCTTCTTATAACACTTCTGAAATCAGAGTAAGCCCAATCATGATGAAGTTGCTGTTTTCTGCATTTGCACTTCAAAACTTACAGAATGAGATGGAAGAGAACTCCAGAGACACTAGTGGAGCACTCCTAAGGCGTACTGTATCACCCAAGCTTCTGCTGTACTTGTCTTACAGGAAAACAAATACATCAATGACTCTGAGACTAAAAGTGATTCAGAAGATTTAGACTCTGGATATGGAAATGTTTTAGAAATAACCAATTGAGTTTGCTTATATTTTCTCATATATGTATGTACAAAAGCAATACAGGACTTAAAAATCTATATCTAAATAAATTTAAAAGGACTCTTCACATAAGTATAAAATGAAAAATAATTAATAAGGCACTGTATCATAATTTAATCACTAGTGTTTTCTTTTCTTAATGGCACATAAAACAATGGTATATCTGACCATGTATATATGATTCAATGAAATGCGCTCTACAACAGGGGTCCCCGACCCCCAGTTAGTCACTGGGCCGCACAGCAGGAAGTGAGCAGCAGGCAAGTGAGAGAACTGGTCCCTGGTGCCACAAAGGCCGGGGACTGCTGCTCTACAAGGTTTGGTTGGCTCCTATTATTTTATACAATACTACGTGTAAATTTTCTGATGTTAAATAAGCAATTTATCAAAGTTCAGATGTTCCAGATTCTTTGAATTAAGAAACACATGTTTAATACAGGAGTCCTCAACAAGCTGATGGTCATTTACTATCCAGCCAATGTTGGCCAGTTTCCTTGGCCACTTGGTCTGGTTGCCACCATCAGGAAGAATGAGCTTAGTCAATCAGCAGGCAGCAGGGGGCGACTCTGAGCTCTGTCTCAGCCTGGAACACTGCCTAATTAACCCTGGCCAGCACCAGGCATACCTCCCAAAGCAGAGGATACTCCTCCCAAGTAGCTGGTGTCAGAGACAGGTTTAGAATAAAGGAAATCACATCAAACTAAGCAAAAGCTATGTCATTTGGCTACCATTAATTTCTAAAATCAGTCTCTAGAATTGCATTAAATTTTTTGTAATTTTCCAACCTGCAGTGGATGTGGTGGCCAAAAAGAAATCAGATGGTAGCCTAGAAATAGTGTAGCTCTTTCTAAAAATATTTAAGCATTTTTATATTGTCACGCCTATCTTCTAATGAGAATTATAATACTGATTTGATAATGAGAGCTTTTAGAGTAATTCATAGTAATCAAAGCAAGTGGTACTTACCTTCTTTTCAAATAAGATCATCTACAAGGGAAAAAAGAATGAAACATTAACTCAATTTATGGTTTTGCTTCCAACTCTCATTAGTCTTAATTATTCCCTTATGGGATATGCAATTTCCAAGAAAAATAGCAAGTCAGCCTTTCTAACCTCGTGAAAACAATAAAACCTACCAGCCACCCACCCAAGGAACACTCTGAGCCATATAATAATAGGAGACATGAAAGGCGCTAACATTAACAGTTATTCTGTTTTCTAGGAATTTTATCCTATTGTATTGTATGTTTACCTGTGATTTCCTTTATCAGCTGTATGATCTGGCTACAAGCTTAATTTGGCTATAAATTTAATCAGCCATAACGATAAATTTTTTTATTTTCAGTTACAAAGACTTCGGCATTAAAACATTCATTTTAGGATTTAACGTCTGGAAATATTATTTTAAATTCCTAATTTTAGAGAACCTCATAGTCTGTATTTTATCCAATATCCAGGCCTCACGACCTTACTGTACAGTTCAGTGGTTGTTATCTGCCAAGTGCCCTGAAGGCCATATCTGAAGTCAAACTCTGGGAAAAAGTGAACCTTTGTTTACAGATGTAATGATTGTTTTCTTAAGGTAGATCTTATGTGTCAAATTAATGCCTTATGACTGAATCAGAAGATGTAACATACGTATGATAAAATAGAAACCAGAAGAAAAAAGTACTAGAATATTTGTTGCAAGATATTAAAAATGAAGGATGTAATGAGGAGGTTAAAGATAAGTCAGAGTTGTACTTTTATGGAGGACTCCACATCCTTGTAGTTTTGTTTTTACTTTATTTTTATTTCCATGCAAACTAATAATATAGAAGGAAGAGACAACAAAATGCTTTAAGTGGCTCAATTTAATGGGAGGGATGATGGGCCTGGACATTAAGTGTCATCCAGGGTTTTCATTCTGTTTCATTAGCTATCCATGTGGCCTTGAGCAAGTCACATACTCTTTCCAGGTCATTTTCCTTATATAAAATGAGAAAGTTCAATCACACAGCCTTGGGAGCTGAAAAACTCTGTCCGCAGACCCTATACAAAATTCAGGGTTTCACCTGCGGTCCTCTTTGCCCTCTTCCTCCACCCTTTCCCCACCCAATGATTTTAAATTACCAACCAGAGTAAATCCAGGCTGAAAGCAGATGATGTCTTACAGAGAGGTATCTTTAAGACATAGTAGGTCATGTGAAAAAATGGAAACTGAGATACAATGACAGTCTCCGTGTAAAATGGCATTACCCCCTGGAGAACATTTGGCTGTGTGTAGAAAGCTGAAGACGAGGGTGCTTTACTTGCAGGCTGCCCAGGACAAGCCCCTGTTTCCACCTGGTATCCTGATAACCTTTCCCGATGTACCCTAGAGAGAAATTCTTGTACTCATACATTTCAGCATTCATAGGTTTTAATAAGTGAAAAATTGGAAATAACTAAAATATCCACGAGTAGTGGAATGGATCAATAAATGAAATACTATTTGGTAGCTAAAGTGAATGTATTAGATCTACATATTTCAACATAAAAAGATTTCTAAGAACACTGACTGAAAAAGCAATGTGATCCAAATTATGAAAATACTTAAAACATGTCATTAGCTTGTTTCCCTCTGGGAGGAAGAGAGGGAAAGGGAACTTGAAAGGAGTTCAAGAGAGACAATAAGCAACTTATAATGCAAGTCAAATTGTAATATTTGAGAACTAGTGAAATAAAGAAAAATCCAAAGTTTTGTCATGTTACAATCTTTTTATAACAATGTCCTTATCAATTTTAAACTCATGGATTTAGCTGCTACTGTGCCTGACATGTAAACTTACACTTTTATACCTCTGCCTTTGAAAATTCAATTTCTGCTTTGCCATATTACTGTCTAAAAATACGTGCTGTGAGGATTAAAACCATAACAACACAACTAACAAATTATTTTTGGAACTCATCTGATTTTGAGGATTTTGGAATTTATATTTCTATGGAAACAAAAGTGGACCCAAAACTGCACAATAAATAAGACTGTTTCAAACAATGAACAAAGCTCCATCCCTAGGGGCACTTATGGTCTTAAGCCCTAGTGACAGAAAACAGACAGATCACAGCAAGCAGTGTGGGAAGGAGATCCAAGATCGGGGGTGGAATGTGGGGGTAGCAAGATAGTTTCTTGGAATAGGTGGATTTTCTGGAAATTCTCAAGGGAGGGATGCAAAGGACCAACTCTTTGATGGAATGCTGTTTTGTATGTCAAAGTTTACGAGGAAAAAAGTCATCAAGACTAGTGTGGGCAAAAGACAAAAGAAGCAGTAAGGAAGGACATTTAAAAAGGTGGACAGAGGAGCCCACGTGGACAGAGCTGGAGGCCTTGGGATGTAGTGAGACCTTTCACTGAGGCTGAGCAGCCAGCTGTGTGGGGAACATGGTCAAAGCCAGAGGGAAGAGCATGTTTAATTAAGGTCTGGATGGATACTGTATTTTAAATGAAAAGGATAAACAAGTAAAGACCCTCAGTAGAGCAAAAAAAAGTACATTTTATTAATGGAGCCGGAGTTTTGCAATGATATATATGTGTAAGGAGAAGCTAGGATGCAATTGCCTATTTTGTGAATGACTGTGAGGTCAACACTATGAGAAGGGAAGAGAGGAAATGTGAGGAAGGTGCCGGACATACAGCGGGACAACCAACGGGATGAAAATGAAGGACTCAGTAGGCAAGGATTACAAACTCTAAGGCCAAAAAAAAGATACTCGCAGCTTTAGCAAACTGCAAAACCTTAAACAAGAACAGAAATAAGGCTCTAAAGAGAAGAAGCCTTGAAAAAATGGGAAGTGATCTATAATCAATAAGTTGATAAAGCAGGATTCTAAAGATGATACAATAATTATCAAGTTGATCTTTGGTAGGTAAAGAAAGGGTTACACTAAACTGATGTTTTTCTTAACAATCTTTAGAGAAAAAACCAATTTGATACAACATTTATTCCTATAAAGGCTTTTAAAAATTTTAATATCAAAGTTGATAGAATAAAGTTTTTTTTTTTTAATCTCGCATACTCTTTCTTGCTCTTCTAAAGGACTAAGTAATACATTCAGGACGTAAGGCTGAGTTTCTTAGGTTTCAAGACTGTTACGTAAACCACAATAAAAGAGCAATAAAAATATTTTTCAATTTAGAATCCTAGGTCTCCCTTGGGTGATTCAGAACTGAAATGTTTTCATGGGGTAAGTCTTAGATGACATTTCCTACCAGAGGTGTCAAGAATATGCAACAGTTTCCTTAATTTGTCTTGGGGCCTGCAAAATCTATTCGTGGTGGACAGTCATGTCCATAAATTCAACTATAAAGTTACTCTGCAATAAAAAGGAATGAAGTGCTGATACAAAAAAACAAAAAAACAAAAAAACCAAAACATGAATTTTGAAATCATTATGCTGGGAATAAGAAGACATATCAAAAGAGTACACACTCTATGAGTTTGTTTATGTAAAATTCTAGAATGTTTACACTAATCTAGATTGAGAAGTCAACATCAGTATTTGCTCAGGAGCAAGGGAAGAATGCATTGCAGATTCATGAAAAAATTTCGGGGGTGCTAGAAATGTTCTGTATCCTACTTGTATTGGTGGTTTCCTGGGTATATACATCTCTCAAAACTCATGGAATTGTATACTTTAAGTAAATGCAGTTTTGTACAGAAATTATACCTAACTAACTGATTTTTAAAAGTCAACTAAATAATTATTTCAAAATAAAAAATTAAAACTTCAACTAATGATGTAATAGAAATAGATTAGATGAGGAATTCCAATGGTCTGATGAAACATCAAGTTCTGCATCCTAGAAGTGGCAAATTGAAACATTGAAATGTGGTATATCTTTCTTTGAAAAGCCTGATGAGCCCTTTCGTTTCTGGAAGTGTTTGGAGAGCACCATCTCCTTCTAAGAAGTGGCTTGTTCACAGAGCTGCTGTTTGAACAAACAAGCTGAAATCACAGGATGCTAAGGAAGAGCAGAATCATTAGGGCACTTGGTCATTTTTTGGTTTCCCCAGAAACAAGCAAATAGTCTTGCTTCGAGTCCACTGCCAGGAGCCTGTGTTCCCAGTTGGGCAGGAGCTCTTGGGGAGGGTGTGGCTGGAGGGAGTAAGAACCTTCCTGGCCTTCACATCTGGCCAAACAAGGAAATGACTGTCCTGCATCTTCAGCAGTGAACAATAGGCAACTCATTATCACACCCCCAGGGTTCTCTCCTGCACATGCTGGACCCTTTTGTTCCAAGGTCACTGGTGAGGACTCCTTAAACAGCACAGGCAGGACTAGGCAGTTAGCCAGCCACCCTGCACATGTCTCACAAAAGAGATGCTTAGAGTAAGCATGCACCCCAAGCTATTGTACTGTTTCCCCTCTCAATAAGACTTTATAAGGTTAAGCATGCAGACTCTAGGGTCTTTGACCTTAAATTTTCAATTATAGAATGATGATAGAACAGTATCTATATCACAAGACTGTTGTTAACACCAAATAGAATAAAATAAGTGCTCAGAACAATGCCTACTACCCAGAGCACTCAAGACATGATAATTATGATTTAGATAAGATAAACTCAGGGTCCCCTGCTGAAAACAACTGAGTAAAAAAATTGAGAGTAATGTTGGAGAAAAAGATTGGGGGAAGAGACAAAGGGGCAAAACAATCTCTGAAATGGAGCCTGAGGCTTTTTCCAGCCTGTAGAGAACAGCCACAGGAAATGCTCATTACCTGTGAGGACACTTTTATTTTGGACTCTTCTTAAGAAATTAAAGAAAATATTTTTAAGAAAATAAATTTTTAACACTTAACAAATCAACCACTTTTTCTCCAGTTTTTGTCCTTGAGAAATATTGTGGAGAGGGATTTTGTTTTGATTACTTTGCCTTGTGTTTTACCAAGCAGCAAGGAAAGGTTCTTATACACAGCTAAGCAAAGGATAAAGAAAAAACCCATCAACACAGACAGTCAGACCAATCAAAAGGGACTCATTGATTTCATGGGAGAAGCTGTTGGGTGACTGCAAGTTGCAGATGATTTTACATTGGGTACCTTGTTAACACCTAAGAAAAGAGATAATTTTTTTAAAAATTGGAAGTCTATGAACTCTGCTTGAGCATAATACAGCAATACATGTTGGGACAAAATCAAAAAATATTTTTTCACATATAGAAAGGGAAAAGATCAATCTAATACAAATATAGCAGACCAAAAGTTGACCACAAACTGAATATAAATCAGCAGAGTTCAATGAGCCCAGGATGCATAAACAGGAGTCTGAACTGTGTAATTAGAAATTAATTCTTCCCAAATCCTCAGCATTGGCTAGCAATAAAGTTAGGAATGCAATTCTAGAGAATGAGCCTGGTTCTGCTCCAGTTTATCCGGTGTAAACCATCGAGGATGTGGAGAAAGACTTTGGAAAAACGTTCTTCTTTCCATTCTAAGGTGGGTTATTTTTCTTTCATTTTTTGACTCATTATCTATATTTACAGACTTTGTATTCAAAATATTGCTATTATAATGAGAAACATGTATGTAAAACCAACCCATGAGATACCTACCAGGCGATCCTGAATTTTATCTGCAAGCGTCGGGTCACTCATCAGTAGAATGGGTTCACTAGGTGAATCCCCAGATATCAAACGAAGTTTGTTTTCATTGACTACAGTGGAAAGTCCAATGGTGATAAATAATATTCCTGCACTTCTGGCATCTTCAGAAATACTTCGAACATCTGGATTCTTTGGATGGTCGATGCCATCAGTCATCAGCAAAGCTACTTTTACACCATCTTTACGTCCTTCTCTCTTAAATAGCCTAGTAGCATTGGAGATGGCATAATATGAGAAAGTACCTTGTCCAATAAAATTCATAGACTTAACCCTCTGCTTGAAAGTCTGTAGATCTTTCCAAGAAGAAAAGGGTGGGTCAATTTGGACAGTGCTGCTAAACTGAAGAGCTGCCAGTTTGATGTCGTATTTCAAGTGATAAACTGGAGTCAACTGGAAAATCTTGTCACTCAAATTAGCCACAAAATCTTTCTGTGCATCAAAGAGAATAATTTTAGAACTTTCAGAGCTGTCCACGATGAAAACAATGTCTATGAAGCAAGTGGAGTCTGAAAATAGAACAAACTGATTAGGCAAAAATACATGGGTCTACTCAAGAAACAATTTTACATAAGAAAAACACTGAGGCGATATGTTGTGGGCTATTTGTTTTTGAGAGCAGAGGGAAGTGAAAGAGAGGCACCCTGTAGGTAAGGCTTAACATGTGAAGACCTAAGTCTCTTAGCAAGTCTATACATTCTTTTTCTCATGTAAAATCATGCAAATCAAAACAATAATTTTAAAAATACCATATATCCTGAACATCTTCCGAAAGTAAAACCTGCTTAAAATGGGAGGGGAAAAAAGTGCATCATAGTTTAAAAACTCAACAAATATTGGGCAAAATTGTCTTCAGGTAAATAATACTGTACCTATTTCTAAGGTTGTGTGTCATGTTGGTGAGTCCCCATATTGTTTTGTAGTTTCTCTTTTTAATGTTTTGAAAGTAAGGGGAAAAATGACTATACATCACATTGTAGCAACAGTAAAGGAGAAAAAAACTTAAAAGAAGAAAATCTAAGATTGAATCTTAGGTCTATCTTACTAGTTAATTTGTCTATGACCTGGAACATGCCACTTAACCTTTGGGGGCCTCAGTTCTTTATCTATGATATGAAAGTGGCAATCTCTGTTATGCCTATTTTATAAGATTACTGTGAAGCTTAAGTGAAATAATAAGTGTACAAGTGCTTAAAAAAACCTCTGATGTTTTTATAGGTATGCCATATAAGTATATAAAGTGTATCATCATAATATAATCATATCAAAGTAGAATGTCACATATATGCATATGTATGTGGTTTGTTATTTACATCAAATGCTATTGATAAAAATGCATATTAATGTCTTAACAGGCTAAACTTAATCATTAAAAACAAAAACAAAACTTTTTTTTACCCTGGAGATAATTTTTCCTTGTAAATAAATTGGACTTTGATCCTTTCTTTCTTTGTCCATATATTGTTTGACTCATAAAAGCTGGCAAAAGCAGGAGGTAAAAGGCAATATGTCTGTTCCACATTTTGGTAGATGGTGAAAAATCATCTGCCTGTAGTACCTTCAATAGAAAAATCAGTTATAAATACTTTAATAAAATATAGTGTTGGCTATTTTTAACTCTAGTCCAGCAGAACTGAAAACTGACATGTGACAAGAGAAAAAAGTTTTCATTCATATTTATAGAGAAATATACACATTGAAGTTTTAAGTTTCTAATGCAAATAAATCATGGCACTATACCCAAACATTTATTAGTGAATATTTCTATAAATCAAAGAGTTATACGTAAGTAGTTCATATTTCCCACTTTAATCTGGGAAGCAGGGGGTCAGGAGAGCCATTTAAAACATTTCAGTGCATTCTATATGGTGACGATGGTTCAATCACAGTGTCTGCTTTGACATTCCCACATTCAGACTGATAATGGTTGTTCCACTCGTTTTCATTATAACTAATTGCTGGTGATCCTAATATTTTTACAGGGTTGCAGAGAACCACCACGATTTCAGTCTTACTATTTACATGCACAACATTAGTGAGTTCAGAGCTCAAGTCAAAAATTACCATAAGCTGTCCTTCTGTTTCCATGGAACCCCATTTTTCTTTTCTACTCTTATTTTGAAAACTGTGTCTCCACCAGAAGTCCAAGCTGGACCACAATTGTATATGCAATAAATCAAAAGAATGTGAGAGCAAATATAGATTTATTAAGCAACACTATTCTACCAGTTAATGGACAGAAATAGGGCTTGAAATCAGGAAGCACCCCTGCAGAGCAGCCCTGTGAAACTATTTTTCTTGGTAGATTAACAATAAAAAATTCAATCCTGTATTAAAATTTTCACCCATAACTCCATCACTCAGGATGCCCAGCTATACACCAGATGACTTGTAAATTCACACACTGCCCTTGCAAGAAAAGACTCACATGTGGCTTGCTCCGTATACCTGAGAATGAGGATAAGGAAACTTATTTTGAACCAATGTTCTGCATGGTTTAGAAATATTTGCCTGCCTAAATGATATTGACATCAGAAGTTCTGGGAAAAGAATCACACTTTCGTTCTTTGGCACCTTGCCTTCAGGGAATGGGAACTGGGAAACCATGAGCACGATTTTTCCAGGCTCTGAGTAGGGGGTAGAAATATATGCAAAAGCAGTGAAGAATGAAATGGGTGACTGACTTCTTTCATACCTGCCAGATGGAGAAATGCCTAAGAGAAGCAAAGCTGTTGGGTTGGGGATGAACCAATAGATGACTCCATTCCATAGTCTGTTTCTCAAATAGCATTGTCTAGCAGGAACTTTATTAAGCTGACTTCGTATCTGTCAGTATGGCTGAGTATCTCTGCTGGCAAGCACTGCAATTGAAATCTCAACTACTGTCCAGACCAGGTATGCTAAGATGTGAACACAGGTGAGTGTTAAAAGAAAGAACAAATATTGTGCTAAGGAAATAGAATACACAGAGGACATTCAGGATCCTCTGGATGTAATCCTCTTGCAAACCAAGGAGAAGAATACAAAAGGATGTTCAAGTACAATTCTGAAGATTAGAGTAAGGTTAAGGCTATGAAGCAAAATACAGCTGCTATTGCATTTTCAGAGGCAGGAAAGGAATAACGCCACATTCCTGGCATTACATATGGCTCTTCTTTTTTGTTGAGTCTATACCACAAGAAACTTCTCAGAAGTTCTTTAAATGGGAGACTGAGAATTTAATTTCATTGAAAGTGAGAGAGATTTTATAAGCTATGTGATCCAGATGATGCTTCAAAAACCTAAAAACGGTGATAACCATGCAGGATCATGAGAAGAAAACCACTTTCTTCTCATTTGTAGACCTCATCCTGGGCTTTCAAAATGCTGACTTTAAATAAAGGCTTATCTTTCTCCAAAAGTAAGCACCTGCTTATACAGTTTTCTTGGCATATAATTATATGAGTATATAAAATGCTCACTAAGATAACTTAATCTTTGGTGATAATCACAATATCTCGTATTTTATTACTATTTGCTCTAACATTTTTTATTTTGCTCTCCAAAACCAAAGTCTAGTATTCCTTTCTGTTTTCTGATATTAGAGGACATGCTTACACCTTCCCACTTTCCTTTCTTTAGTTTTTTAGTTTTTCTGCTTTTCTGAAATCATTATTAGTTTGGCATCTGAAGAACCCACAATGGAATACTACAAAACAGAAAGAAAGAAGGATCTCCTGCCCTTTACAACAGCATGTATGGAACTGGAGAGCATTATGTTAAGTGAAGTAAGCCAGGCGGTTAAAGACAAATACCATATGATCTCGCCTATACGTGGAACCTAATCAACAAAACAAACAAGAAAGCAAAATAGAAACAGAGACATGGAAATAAAGAACAAACTGACAGTGCCCAGAGGGGAGGGGAGAGGAGGGTAATGGAGGAAAGAAGGGGAAAGATCATTAAGGAACATGTATAAAGGACCCATGGATGAAGACAAGGAGGGAAGAGGGAGAGGACTGAATGTGGGAAGTGGGGGTGGGTAGGGTGGAGGAGAGTAATGGGGGGGGGGAATGGAGACAACTGTTATTGAACAACAATAAAAAAAGAAAAAAATGTTTAAAAGTTCAGAAAAAAAAGAAGAAAAAAGAGCTCACCCATTTCTAATCATTTTTACCAATTCTTACTTTTGCCTGCATTTTGAGTAAATTCCCACCTTTCTCTTATTTAAATATCTCATACAAGTAAAATAGGTTTCAGGAGAAATGTCATAAGTTAAATGAAAGGAATATAAACTTTTATGTTTACTGTTGGTTAAATTTTATAAATTCAGAAATAATGATTATCTTTATCCAAATGCCATATTTTTGCCTAAAATTTATTTTGAATGAATGCCAGGATCAGTAACTCTAAGAGACTTTAAAAATAAATTCATAAATGAAATTATCTTTCAACAGCATTTACCAATTTTACTCACAGTGTTTGCATCTCATTTGTTTATACCTGAAGAGAAAATGATAAATATTTTGTTCAAATTGCCAAACTAACCAAGTTTTAAAGTATTCTGCAATTAATACCTAATTATAAAAACTTTCTTGAATGAAGAAAAAGATTCATCAAAAGATATGTAACATCATTACAGTGTTATGCAGTAGATTATAAATTAACAATTAATTTTAAAATAATTTAAAAATAAATTTTAAATTTCTACACTTTAAAATTCTACAATTATTCATATTTTTCTAATAATTAAATTAAAATAATAGCAGAGGATAAAGTTTTTTGATAAGCTTTTTTCACATAGTAAGTATGTAAACCATTTAGACCTCCACATTTCCTCAGTGGTCCTCTCTGATCACAAGTGATGAAAACAAAACTGTTATGTCTTACCTTAAAAAGTTTGTCAAACAGGAATTAAAGACTGGTTAAGCAAATGCCAACAGCAGGGACCATCGTTGGGGATTGAATTGACTACTGGATAGTTCTCTGATCTGTGGGAAACAAAAATTGCCTTTGCTTTGGATCTTTTGCAATCTTTTATTCATGTTCATTAGACTACGGAAAAGCAAGAGTGGTCAGGCATTTGGCCAGGGTGCAAGATTTGGGTGGGATCAGTAAGTAATTTAAAGGAATAGTGTCCTTTCAGAACAAGTCTGTGTTTTCCAGACTGTTTTAAAACAACTTGAGCAATTTTTTTTTTATTTAACATGTTAGGCATTTATTGACAGTCTGCCTTTGTTCTCATGCTATGTTCTTCACTTTCTATTTTTTTCATCTCTTTGCCTGGAGTATGTGCTCTGTTAGAGATTGATTCTAAACAGCTCCATGAAGGACTATAATGACTCCAGACTCAGGTGCAAAACTGGGTTTTCAAGAGAGACAGTGGGTTGATAATTATTGAAGCTGGATTATGAGTATATAGAAGCTCATTATTTTAGTCTTTCTACCTCTGTAATTTTTGAAAGTTTTCATTATAAAAAGTTTACATAACATATAGTAAAAGAGTGATCTAAATTTAGTTCTTGGTTTGTCTCTAACATAGGGACCTCAGTTTCCCACTTATGAAACAAGGCAGCAGATTGAATTATTTATCAAGATCCTTTCAAACCGTAACATAAGAGGTAGGTTTACAAGGGTTAATATTCTGAGGTCTCTGTCCAGGAAATGTGGTCACTATAGTGGTTCCTTTCACTCTCTCTCTCACTCTCTCTCCCTCTCTCTTTTTCTCTCTTAAATTTTCTACCTTGTGATAACAGCCTGTGTTAAGTCAACTTTTATCAGTACAAAACGTATGGCCAAGAAGCCACTTGATCTCTAGCCAACTAACAGGGAGGCCTCTCTGTGGACTGCCTCAGAGATGGAGAATAGTAAGATGACCAGAGAAAGCAACATAATTGTTTTAAATCAGCTTTCTTAGGAATGCATTTTAGCATTTATGCATCTGTTTATTGTAACAATAATAGTTTCTACTTCATGAACACTTTACCAAGCTGGGTACTGTGCTCAGTGCTTCACATACATTAAGGCCTTTAGCCCTCCAAAAGCACGACCACCTAGCTATAATAAATACTATGAGAATCCACATTTTGCAGGTGAGGATGCTGAGGCAGCGAAGAATTCAATCATTTGCCCACTGTTATACTAATAGCAGAGAATGCCAGAATGGAGTCTTAATTCAGAACTATCTGACCACTGAAGCTCACTTACAGCAACTATCACACCATTAAATTAGGTGTCCACGTGAACGTTCAGGCTTTCATTGTCTCCTCACCACAAAGCAGCCCTTGGGGAACCGAGGGAGTCTTGGAGTCTTGGTAATAGAAAAAAGGAACGGTGGGTCTCTTGCAAAACTAACAGTGGGATTTCCCAGGAAGCAAACATATGTATTTATAGATTTACACATACATTGTTTGAATAGCCCATGGATGTTAGCCACACTTTTCACTTTTGTGAGATGAGAATCATGGGATAACAAAGTAGCATTTTTCAGAAGGTCAGCTCTCTTTTTCCTGAGGTAGATTAGCAACCTGAAGAATAGTAATACCTCTAAGAAGCAAACAGGTGACTCCTGGTGGGGAGAAATGGTCTAAAGCCTTCCTTCTTGTTAACTGTTCTTAATAAATACTTGTTGAAGGAATGATTATTAGAAGTAATTTTTTAGTGTTCCTCGATCACTTGAGAACCATGATACAACCGATTGCTCTCCTCCAGAGCACTGTTAGATAGCAGATCTTTTTCAACTTTTTTCAAAATATTATAATACTCTACTTAAATAGAATCTATGTTGGCTTTATTTGTTTTGGTAGTAGTGCCAAGATCTCCATTTCAGTAATGATAATATTTTGGGGTCCTAGAATCATTTAAGAGAAATCAAAGTCTGGCGTGGCTTGTAAATATCAGAAGATTTTATCTGAATGATGTTACAGAAGCGCACAAAAAAAGGCTAATAACATATCAGCTCAATATACATCTGGACTGAGATCAAGGTTTAGTGAAATGTTTCACAATCTTCTCCCAGTGTCACCCACCTTCCATACTGACTATCCAGAATAGAAGAGAGCATTGTCAACTGAGAAGGAAGAAGTCAATGATCTTCTTACCCAATTTGGAGAAATTAGAGGCTCCCTTCATTTTTTTTTAAGTATAAAATCTTGCTGTAGTAGAATTTGTAACATTTGCTCCAAAGCTCTGAAGTTTCTGAGATGTATTATGCTTCTTGTCTCCGAGAGTATGACTTGGCCATTCTCTCGTCATTCTTCGGGAGATTAAAGAAATGCCAAAATGGTGAGTTTATTTAACAATTTAGGAATGGATTAAAAGTATTCAAAGAAATGGAAGTGGAAATTATCATTGGTAATCAAATGCAGAAAATGTGGCATTGCTTAAGTCTGGAGCAGCGTGACTCCAGCGCCACTCCCCTCACCAAATTTGGATTGAGTTGACTCTTCTGCATTCCCTGTACTCGATTGTTTTTTGCATTGTTTACTCCTGATATATCTTGCTTCATTATTTGTCATTTGGTCCCCAGCTTGAACAGTTGTGTCACACAGTGCCTTAAAACACAGTGACAGTGTAAACCCCGCTATACCAATCTTACAACTTTTAAAATTTTTCTCTGAAATTTTCCTTCATAACTGATATTTGTTTATTCTGTGTTATTTATTCTTTAGTAAGAGCAAATTACGTTATGCCAAGAAAAGAAAAACTGAGTGCTCTCTGGAACAATTTACAATTTTCCTTTCTAAGAAACGTCTGAAAGTGGCTAGGTCTTGTCCTATCATAGATTTGAATATTTGATTTTTAAAAAGTTATTCTTTTCAGCCAGTGGATAGAGCATAAGTTTTTCATGTAGAGTCCATGAAAAGAGAAACAGATCTAGTTAAGCTTTGGCCAAGTTCTACTTTTGATGGGGAAAATTTTTTCATTTATTTGATTTTACTTTCAGGTATTAGAAAGTATTTTACTGTATCTTCGTTCTTTGATTGCCCAATATGTGGTATTTGACCTTTTCTTGTGTTGAGGGCAAATGATAACACTGAATCTCAGAACAGAAAAGAAACAGAAAACACTTTTGTTTCATTCATTTCACAGATAACAAAATAGAGGACAGATGTTGTGACCCACATAAAGGTCATACCATGAGTCAGTGAGGGAATAAAGTTTAGATGTTTGTGAGTTAGTTGGCCAACTTTCAATACCCTAAATACCCCAGGAAGTTTCTAAGCCTTTTTACACATTCAGGCTTGTGCCAGAGCAGGAGAAAAAGGAGGCTGGTCAATGGCCAATAATTCATGTTTGAAAAATACGGATTTTATTTTAGTAGCAAATGGCTCAGGACAAGTTACCTTGGACTAAATTCCATCATTCATTGAGTCTCACATATCATTGTGCAAATCTTAATGCCTGGGTCATAAAGTCAATGAATACCATTTCTTAGAACCCTGAGTTAAAGAACTTTTTCCTCCAGGTTTGAGGAGGCTTGCCTGGGTAGCTGGGTATTTTACATGGATTTGTGACCTGTGGTACATGTAATTGATACCTGATCAAAACATGGCCAGTAATATAGGTAAATATCATTTTCAGGAATAAGTCTCAGAAACTCAACACCCATTTGGGTTTCTGGTCAGTTCATTTGAGATTTAGTATGAATATCCACCAAAAAAGTCTTTAAAATAACTCAATCAAATTCCTGGAACAAAAGTGTTTTAAGAACACTAAATAACTTATCTCACATTATGTCAACCCATTACAACACTGGTTTACACAACATTGTTATTACATCTAAATTATATAGTTCTTCCTGAATAGTTTGTTTCTTCTTCTATCCTTTTAAATTCTTTACTAAGGGTAAATTACCCATGGATGAAGTTTGCAGTGAAAAAGGCTTGAGATGAATTAATACTTTATTATCTGGGGACATAAAAAACAGTAATATGAAACCATCCACAAACATAAGGTACCTATTATAATCATTATTCATTGTTTACATCCAGAACTATAGATTCTGAAATCACACACATATAATTTTAGTTAATGTAAAATAACATTTACTTAAGTGTATAGTTTCTTTTATATTAATTGACCAAATTCAGAAATGCCAAATACTAACTCAAATCATTGACAGCGGGTACTGAGGGACTATTGTTTGAAAAAAGATATTTGGGCACCACCTTGTGGGGCTTTGTAGAAAGACATGGTGTAAGAGTCACTAGCCTACTATTATTAACAAATTAAAATTCTTAAGTACCTCTGATGATGAACAGGTAGAATGTAAGTTGGTTTCTGCAAATTTTCAGAGTAGATGAATAATGAGATGAATCAAAGGAGCGACAAACTACTATTATATATAAATCAAGAAACTAAGTAACATCTGATGAAATCTAAAATTAATTCATTTAACAAACACTAATTTTTCTACTATATAGAGGCATTGGATAGAAGACAAATAAGGCCCAATCTCTTCAGCTCAGTGGAGGAGATAGGCAAATAAAAGGCAATGGCAAATTTTGCTAAAAAAAATTTTTTTTAAGTAATCAAATATCAAACTCTAGTTAATGATACCATGCTGAAGTGTTAGGGAGCACGTTGTACACATGCCTGCAACTTAACTCTGCAATGCATCATTGAAAAAAAAAAGAAAATGGATTAACAGGATGGGTAGATGAATAGATAGAGAAAATATATCAATTATATACCAAGTGTTAATTGCAGAGTCCAGGTGGTGGATGGTGGGTTTGCTGTATCATTCTGTCAGCTTTTCTATATATTTCAAAATTTTCATAACAAAGTATTAGACAAAAAAGACAATGGAAATGCAGTGTGATACTATCTGTAAAAGAGGCCAGCAAAGAGGGCACCGAGCCCAAACTGCAACATGGAGGCTGGCAGTGCAGGCACCAGAGGATATGTAGGGGTTTCTTTTGTGCCACGTCAAAAGGGTTAAAATTTATCTTGAAAACAGTGAGGAGGCACTAAACGATTTTAAGCAGAGGAGT